AATAAATAAAAATTTAAAAAAGAAAATTCTAGGTTGATGTTGTCTTTTCATCCCGGAGGGTTTTATTTTACATACGTTTATATTATTAGCATATGTTTCCTTTTTTTGTTGTTGTTGAGATGGAGTCTTGCTCTGTCGCCCAGGCTGGGGTGCAGTGCCACTATCTCGGCTCACTGCAAGCTCCGCCTCCCGGGTTCACGCCATTCTCCTGCCTTAGCCTCCCGAGTAGCTGGGACTATAGGTGCCTGCCACCATGCCCGGACTAATTTTTTGTATTTTTAGTAGAGACAGGGTTTCACCATGTTAGTCAGGATGGTCTCGATCTCCTGACCTCATGATCTGCCCGCCTCGGCTTCCCAAAGTGCTGGGATTACAGGCGTGAGCCACCGTGCCCGGCCTAGCGTATGTTTCAAAGTGAAATTTAAATACTAACAGGCCAAGATATCACTAGGATGGGACAAATTTAGAAAGTTTAGAACAAGGAATAAAGCAAGTAGAGAAAAGCAGCGCCTCATGAAGCTTCTGCACTAGGTAACAGCAGCAACTGATAGTGAGCGCTTTCTAGGAGCCATGCACTATTCTAAATACTCTACATCTATGAAACTATTTAATCCTCAGAATTACCAGGTGAGGTAAGACTGTTATTACCTTGTTCATTTGTTTATTGGTTTATTTATTGATTGACTGAGACAAGGTCTCACTCTGTTGCCCAGGCTGAAGTTCAGTGGCTCAATCACAGTTCACTGTAGCCTTGACCTCCCAGGCTCAAGCGATCCTTCTATCTCAGCCTCCCAAGTGGCTGGGACTACAGGCACAAGATACCACACGCATGGCTAATTTTTTAACTTTCTAAAGAGACATGGTTTCACTATCTTGCCCAGGCTAGGCTCAAACTCCTGGGCTCAAATGACCCTCCCGTCTTGGCCTCCCAAAGCGCTGGGATTACAGGCAGCAGCCACTGTGCCCGGCCCATTACCTTCTTTTATACATGAAAAAACTTAGGCATTGAGAGGTTAAGTATCTTGTCTAAAGATTCACAGAACCAGGATTCAAACCCTGATTTCTGATGTCAAAGCCCACATTCTATACCACCAATCTAAACTGCCTGCCTCCTCTATGAATGAGTTAAAGCCACCCTTTCTTCCACTACACATCACATTTGGCAAATATTTAGAGTTTTGTATTGCCTAGAGAAAGAATACATTTTTCTTCATAAGATTACACTCTTACTTATCTCGAGAGGACCATGAGATAACCAAAGGACTCTACAGCTTTCTTTTCTGCTTGGGTAAAATAAGACACTTACTTATACAGATGCCCCAGAGGCCTACTGAGATCAACTTGGAGAAATCCTAAGAGGCTCAAAAAAGAGCTGGGACTGAAATCAGATAAGACCACTGACTCAAATATTTAATTCCTGTGTATACTCACACTGAAAGCACTGTCTCAGACATCCCAGTTACTCTATACAAGTACTTAAAAGCAGGAACCAGGCTGGGTACAGTGGCTTACTGTACTTACTGGGTACAGTGGATTACTCCTGTAATCCCAGCACTTTGGGAGGCCGAGGCAGGTGGATCACCTGAGGTCATGAGTTCAAGACCAGCCTGACCAACGTGACGAAACCCCATCTCTACTAAAAACACAAAAATTAGCAGGGT